CACACACACACACACACACATCTGACAAGTAGGATCCGAAGCCCACCTCTTGAATGATTCGATTAATTACATGATTGTCAATTTTTTAACAAAGCTGAGACTGATAATTTCGACTTCTGATCAGATAAATTAAATTCTGTCATTTCGCTACCTTAGAATTATCAAGTTCTATCTGCTCAGTACCTAGCTTTGAGAAATTAAACGTTGAAATTTTTTTTGAAGTTTCAAAAAATGTTAAGCTTTTATTAAAATGCAATACTGTGGATATCTTGATAATGACTCCAAATAAACTTAAGATTTTGATAGAAGAGATAAAACATTTAGTTTCTGACCTCATGGCCTTAGTAACTCGAAAGGGCCAAAAATGTCATATAGAACTTTGTAATTCTGACTAGCAGTGCTCATTGGCGTCGGTTGCCTTGTGGTTAGGCTACGAGACACGTAATCGTGAGATTGTGGGTTCAGGGGTTGGAGCTTCAGCTCGGTCCGACGTTGAGTCCTTGGGAAAGGCACTTTACACGGAATTCCCACTTGGCTCGGTCTTTTCGGACACAGACGTTAAACTCGGAGGTCCCGCCTCTTCAATAGCCTAACAGTGTTGATAAGGGGCGTCAAACCCATACCGTTTCACGATGTTCATAGCGCTCATTGTTTTGTTTATCTACAACTCACCATCCAATGATCGAAATCTTTCTCCAGGAAGGGTGACGATGAGAATGAAAAGGAGGATGCGGCAGAGGAGGATTCAGAAGAGAAGGGGGACGATGACTTGGAGTTCATCAAACTGGGCAAAGGTTTGAGTCTGTGTATTGCCTACGCAGGGAATGTGGGTGGAGTCGCCACACTGACAGGAACTCCGCCCAACTTGGTTCTAAAGGGGCAGGCTGACATGTGAGTGACAGGACAAAATTAGACAAGATAGATTTCGAATGTATGCGTCATTTTGGAACACAGGGGGAGAGTTAAATGGTAGTGGCTTGTGGTTCCTGCTTATTGGGAACTAGGAACCGTAGGAATCGTGTCCGAACCCAATTTCTTTCTACTGTTGTGATTTCTTCCGGGTGTTCATGATGTCTTCCAGTGGTTCCGACCACTAAACAATTACATGATGACTTCCAACAAAGCAGCAATTACTTCCTATGAATCCAACACTTACCCAGTTCGGGCTACCAAGTCGGCTTCAAGCAGATTCAGGATCCAGGATAAGCTCGATTTCGAAACACGATGAGGCACCAACATTTTTCTTTTCAAAAATAACTTTTTTTTTAAAAAGAAGAAAATGTTAATGAATAATATTATAGTAATTGGTAACCGTTGGGAATCGGTTCTGGATTCGATTCTTCGACAAGTCGACAAGCTCTAAAAAGTAGAGTTCTCCAACCCTCTTCCGTCCACCTCTCCAATCTCAGTCCTCTCTCTCTCT